AAATTTAATCACTAAACCAATAACAAACACCATTTATCATCAGTAGTCGAAATGGTATAAATAGATGTAAGCATAAACATGTAAGGAGTTCGAGATTATACGAATTCAAATAAAGAGCTCTTGCTCAGAAAAATATAAAAATATTTTTTTTTTATAACTTTCCTGACTTGAGTATTAAACTCTGTCGCTGCCCACGTCATCGTCATCATTGGTATTACTTTGAATATACATAGCGACATACATATGTAAATATACAGAACATCACACCACCAGCAAAATAAAGTCAAATTGAGTTATGATTTGACAGCTGACCTGACAGTCCGCGTTAAATAAACACTTTTCGTTTTTCATTGTGGCCTTCAATCTATAAAGTGTTGTAAGTGAAGTGGTGAAAACTCTATTTGTAAATATAACATTTTCAAATTGTAAATATCGTAGTTGTCGAAATGGAGCAAAATGTCGGAATGGATCAAGATCTGTTTGAAGACCAAGACTTCTCGGCAGATGATGATGTTGTTGACCAAAATTTTATCCCGGAGAAGGTGATCCGCAAGAGGAATATTGTTGCGGATAGTGATTCGGCAGTGAGTACTAAAAGAATGCGTAGCGTCGGAAGGAGTTCGCCTAAATTAATTTTCAATTCAGAATTTTACGTGGCAATGGAAAAAGTATGTTAAACTAAGAGTTGGTGAATATTTTTATTAAATTATTGTAGATACTAATGGCTTGTTTTTTGTTACGGCAGTCAAATGGAAGAACAACGGCTAAATGTGCCGCCTGTAATAAAATCATACGAGGCACCGAGGAAGTAACTTCAAACTTGATATCCCATTTGAAACTTCGCCACAATGACTTACACAAAAAGTATTTAAGTATGAAATCTGGACCTTCCCGTGAAACCACGACACTGGGAGCTTTTGAAAAAAAAATTATCCGTTTTTTTGGTAGACTGCGCGTTACCCGTTTCTATTGTAGAAAAAAGAGTCCTTCCGTGACTTGTTTAGTGGCACTGGATTGCATGTTATGTGTAAAAAGTCTGCCATGAAAAAACTTGACGAAAGCTACA